GTCCTTCCTTCTCATTAGGTGGCCAAAGTCTTTGAGTTTCCTCTTCAGGATCTGGCCTTCTAAAGAGCAACTAGGATTGATCTCCTCTAGGACTGACCAATTGGATGGCCTTGTAGTCCAAGGGACTCACAGGAGTCTTCTCCAGCACCAGAGTTCAAAGGCTTCCATTCTTTGGCGCTCAGCCTTCCTTATGGTCCAACTTTCAGAGATACTATTAGTAACCACCTCCAAATCCCAGATCTGTCTCCACTCTTGTTCTCTCAAAAGTTAAACATTGAGCACTGTCACTGGGAAGGCTGATTCTTTGAATCCCGTCTCAGGTTTTCATTGCTATCCTCCATAAATTTTTATTCCTTGAGTACAGAACACTATCTTTAACTGTTCTTGAGCTCAATTATATGTCATCTTCATGGTCAACCCAGAGTTCATTTCATTTGTGGTTAATGTTACTTTGGGATACTTAATGTGTATCATTAATCTAGTTTAAAAAAAACAAAACTTTCATCACAGGCTTTTCTTAGTCCTCTTTATTTTCCGAGGACAAAATGCCATCCTCTGCGTGTCTCAAATTGTTAGGGGGTCAACTTCCAATTTTTATTCCAACTGCCCTATTGTCTAATCTTGTATCCCGCCTTGCATTTGTATACATTAAGTGGACATAGAGACAATATGCTCCCTTGTCTTTCTTACACTGCTTTTCTGAGTCTTTTCATTGCTTTTCTTGAGGTTTTTTTCAGTTATTACAGTAGCTATTTGTTCATTGTAAATGTTCCTTAGGGGGGAAAAAATAATTAGATGTATTCTGATACAGGCATTAGCCTTAATCATTTCTAGATCTTTGGGGGGCTTCAAATTGGGTTCAGAAAGGGTGCTTGGAATATGAGGGAGAACGAGCATGGCATCTATCTGGGGCAGCGAGATGGGGAGCATATAATTTTAATAAATAAATAAATGAAACATCTGCATATCTCAAGGACCACTCAAATGAGAGATATAAACTGGAGTGGAGAAGATGGATTGACTATATTCAAAATAAATACGGGACTAAGAAATTCCAGATAGTTTATGACTGAAGAAACAAGGAATGATATAATCTGTTTAGAGTTAGCCTAGCAAAGAGGAGTTAAAGCTCAAATGAAAGATGATACTAACTTTCTTTAAGTTTATTTTAGAACATCTTTGTTAAAGATTTATACCCTGTATTTGTTCTGGGAAGTGGGGGGGGATTGGGGGGGTTCAGATGGGGAGGGCAGGGGGGGGAGGTAAATATTTGCAAAAGTTTTTTTTCTAAAAATTTTCAATAAAAAAATAAAATAAATGAAACATCTGCAACTCACTGAAACAGCTACTTTCTAGAATCATGGCACCTTGGAAGCAGATGTGTTGGGCTTTTCACTTATTTTATTTCGTTTTATTTATTGGATTTGTCAGACATGTATAAGACAACAGGTATAAGCATAAACGTGGACATGGACAAAGGAAATGAGTACAAATAAATGGGGACAGTAGGACAGGGACGGAACGTACGCTGGTGCATTTATGCACACCCACTTTACAGACCTCTTAGGAATGGGGTGAGGTCCACGGTAGACAGTTTGAGGTTGAAGCTGTAAGGATTTGAAGCTGTAGCCACGGAGTCAGGGAGAGCATTCCAGGCATTGACCACTCTGTTGCTGAAGTCATATTTTCTGCAATCGAATTTGGAGCGATTTAACTTGAGTTTGTATCGATTGCTTGCCCGCGTATTATTGAGGTTGAAGCTGAAGTCGTCGTTGACAGGTAGGACGTTGTAGCAGACAATTTTGTGTACTATGCTTAGATCAGACCGTAGGCAGCATAGTTCCAGATTGTCCAAGCCCAAAATTTCGAGCCTGGTGGCATAAGGGATTCTGTTGTGAGCAGAGGAATAGAGGACTCTTCTCGTGAAATACCTCTGGACTCGCTCAATTGTATTAATGTCCGATATACAGTGTGGATTCCAGGCATAGTCCCCATGTTCTAAAACCTCTCCTCAGAATTGAATCTAAAACTTTGGATAGCCCTAATGCAGATAGTCCTTGACTTACAACAGTTCATTTACTGACTGTATGAAGTTATAACAGCTCTGAAAAAAGTGACTTATTTCCTTCCTTCCTTCCTTCCTTCCTTCCTTCCTTCCTTCCTTCCTTCCTTCCTTCCTTCCTTCCTTCCTTTCTTGACTTTGGCCAGCTAGCAAGGAGTAAAAACAAAATAAAAAGCATCTTAAAATACAGTACAATATATTCCTCCATCTGTCTTGGCCAAGAAATCAAACACGTACTCTGAATGGACCAGGAAAAGTGACACAGAAGAACAAAAGGATAGCTCAGCTTTAATCACATAAAAGAGTTCTCCAACAGAGGGACAATTTGTTGGAATTCTTTCAAGATGGTTTCATTAACTTTTCTATAATGATCTATTTATAGGAGCTTTTGTGTCCTTTATCCTTGAGGTTTTTGTCTTGCCAACCAAAAGAAGGCAGGCAGGTGCCATTTAGTGGCCTCCTTCCGGCTCTGTTTGAGTGATCGCCGGATTCCCAGATCTACTCATGAAAATTCTGCTGATCTTAGCCAACCAGCAATTAGAGGAGAACCTTCTAACCTGAGGATATCACCATTTGGTACCCAGATTCATCTAAACTAGGGGTCAGCAGCCCACGGCTCTGGAGCCGCATGTGGCTCTTTCCTCTCTCTGCTGTGGCTCCCTGTTATCAGTCGGTAAAAGCCACACTAGGAGAAGACTCTATGGTGGGATAAGTAGACTTCCAGTCGGCAGATGAAAAAGGACGCCACACTAGGAGGAGACTCCATGGTGGGATAACTAGACTTCGGTCGGCAGACGAAAAATGATGCCGCACTAGAAGGAGACTCTATGGTGGGTTAACTAGACTTCAGATCGGCAGACAAAAAAGGATGCCGCACTAGAAGGAGACTCTATGGTGGGATAACTAGATTTCAGGTCGGCAGACAAAAAAGGATGCCGCACTAGAAAGAGACTCTATGGTGGGGGAACCAGACTTCCGGTCAGCAACAGAATTGAATGGGAGACTTCCAGTTAGTATCTTTGTGGCTCTTTGAGTGTTTAAGGTTGCCGACCCCGATCTAAACGTTATGGCTGTGCCCATATTATTTTCTTGGCAAGAATAGAGAAGGTGTGTTTTTTTTCCCCTGTTGCCTTTTTTTCAGGTTTGATTTTTCAGGATGTCTTCCAAATATTTTGGATTGATTTCCGGTTGTAGAACCCCATCCTTCTCATTTTGACTTACTAGCAAAGGTGGCCCCACCAGAAGCTTCTGTTTTTTCGAACATCATTTTCCAAAGCAGTGATAGTAGTAGAGGGGACCTCCCTACAAACCCCAGAGAGAGGCATCGTAGAGATTCCTGGTCTGTTTTAACCCTTATTTGTGTAAGTTGCAGTGGATAGATGCACATGTCAATCAAAGCCCTAACGTGGTTTATAAGTCACAATGAATAGAATAGAATGAATGAGCTGGGAAGGGTCCTTGGAGGTCTTCTAGTCCAGATGTTGGTTGTGGAATTCTGGGGATTGAAGTCCACACATCTGGAAATTGCTTTGGTTGAGAACCAGGGTACGAAGCCATAATGGGTTCAGTCTGGGCTTCATTATGACTTATATAAACCATGTTAGGGCATGATTGTATGACATGTGCATCTACCCACTGCAACTTATACAAATAAGGGTTAAAACAGACCATGAATCTCTATGATGCCTCTCTCAGGGGTTGCAGGGAGATTCCTCCTATCATCACTGCCTTTGAGAATGATGTTTGCAGAAATAGAAGCTTCTGGCAGGGCCACCTTTAGCCCAGACTGAACCAGAATTCCACAGCCAGCACCAGCACAGAATTCTGGAAGGCCATACACATTGCCTCCAGATATCGTGCCTGCTCCATCACTGGATGTTTTTAAGAAGAGACTAGACAGTCACTTATCTGAAATGATATAGGTTCTCCTGCTTGAGCAGAGGGCTGGACTAGAAGACCTCCAAGGTCCCTTCCAGCTCTCATTCATTCTATTCTAGTTCTCCGTCTGGAAGTTGCCATGTTAGGAACTACTGGCTTAGTAAAACGTATAAATCCAGCCATGATTTTGAGAGACGTGCGTTTTCCTTTTCAAATTTATTTTACAAATGACGTTGTGAAGCTGTGATGAGAACTGCCCATTCAGTCTTTCAAATGAAATCAGGGCTGCCCTTTTCTCTGACTGCCCCAGAGGTTTAGATAATATGGTTGTTGTTTTTTTATTCCCCGGCTCTCGTTTTTAAAAAAGAAAAGCTACTGCTTATCCCACCAGTAAATTGCTCATCGGCAGCTGTTAGGCCTCCTTTCTGATGTCAAGAACAAAAGAGGCATTCTTCATAAAAGTTTGACTAACCGCAACGTAAGCATAGCCGAGCAACGCGCGTACAATAACTCTAATGCATCTCAAGGGTATAAAATATTCTCTGTGGGTTGCGCTGGATTTGTTACACTGCTGAATCATAGATTAGTGGAGCACGTACAGTAGATGGGGGAGCCCCTGAGACATTGCAGGAATAAAAGGCATGGGTTTGTGTAAAATATGTCCATGCTAATTGGTGGCTAGAGATGGCGATTTAGTAATAATTGCCATCATGTGAGTAAAAATGGAATGAGTCTTTAAGATAAACTGTATCAACTATAGGGGGTAGGTGGGTGGATAGTTGATATGGTAGCAGAGACAGAAAATCGGCCCTTTGGAATGTCCAGGCTGATGGCTTGAAAGTAATTGAGTAGAGTAGAGTAGAGTAGAGTAAAGTAGAATAGAATAGAATAGAATAGAATAGAATAGAATAGACTTATCTAGGCTTGATTGTGTAGTGCAGAGGTGGGTTCCTACCAGTTCGCACCTATTCNGGCCTAAGCCATGGAGCGCTTTAAAGGTCATAATTAGTACCTTGAATCGAGAGAATAACTTCCTTGCTTATTTCCTGAATTAGGTTGTGGAACTCTAGTTTGGGTTGATGCACCGGTGACCTTTCACAAGGCTGACACCATCACAGGAAAATATGGCGTATGGATGAAGGACCCACAACCCGTGTCTCCATTTACCAATGAGACAATTTGGAGAGTTGACACGGTCAGCGCGGATGTCCGTCATGTCTTTGAATATGATGATCTGGACGAGTTTGTGAAAGGCCATCCTTCCAAAGTTCATGTGTTGCCTAGATCCATGGAGAGCACTGGGGCCGTTGTTTATCAAGGTTCCCTCTATTTCCAGAGGCACAAGTCCAGAATACTGGTGAGATATGACCTGAAGAATGAAGTCATTGCAGTTCAGAAGGAGTTGCCCGATGCTGGCTACCATGGGCAATTTCCTTACTCCTGGGGTGGATATACAGATATTGATCTAGCAGTTGATGAGATTGGATTGTGGGTGATTTACAGCACTGAAAATGCCAAGGGCGCTATTGTGCTTTCTAAACTGGACCCAGAAACTTTGGAGATTTCACAGACATGGAAGACCGATATTCACAAGCAGTCGGTGGCTAACTCCTTCATGATCTGTGGCTCCTTGTATACCATTAGTAGCTACTCATCCCCCGAGGCCACCGTGAATTTCATCTACCGCACAAGTACAGGAAGTAGTGCGCCGCTGAAGATCCGCTTTGAGAACCGTTACAGATACAACAGCATGGTAGACTACAACCCGACAGAGAAGAAAATAATGGCTTGGGATAACTTCAACATGGTGGCTTATAACATCAGACTTTCCAAGATGTGATTACTTTGGGGAGATTTATAATGGGAAAATAGATAATGGAAATAGAGGTAGAAATTGAAGTTTGCTATCAAACTTTCCTCCCACTTCATTATCATGAATGGCCCAGAATTTCTCCCGAGCTACTCCAGTAGAAAGAAACAGCTATGCAATGTGGGATCGGCTCTTAATCCTTTTAATGAGTGTATACAATAAAATAGTCTGTGATTTATACTTCATTCATACTTAATCTCCAACTCTGTTGTTTTTAATGCAGTACTGTGTATCTTCTTTACAACATTAGCCTAAGCATACTGCAGCCAACTATAACACAAAGTCATACACCTCTCAAAAATGATATAGCCTCTTTTTCTTTTTCTTTTACAATTTCTTTTTAGTTTCAACTCAACACGTGGAAGATTTTGGTTGCTCGGCAGGACTGAATCAATTTTGTTACATTTCATTACATTTACAGTATATGCAGTGACTCAAATTACAGAGGAGCATAGAAACAGAGAATCATAGGGCTGGAAGGGTTCTTGGAGATTTTCTGTTTCAACTCTCTACTCAAGGTAGGAGTCCTTATACCAATTAATGCCCAATCTTTACATGAAAACTTCCAGCGATGGAGCATTGATAACTCTGCAGAGATGGGTTCCTACCACTTTGCACCTATTCGGTAGAAGCGGTTCGTCAAATCTACCGAACCAGTTAGAAGAGGTTCCACCAGTGGACCCGGAAAGCAGGCCACACCTACAGAAGAGGTTCCAAAATTTTTTGAAACCCACCACTGGTCCTTGGATATGATTATTCTACACTATCATGCTCATATTTATAAAACTCAGTGCCTCTGTGAAAGGTAAGGATGACGACTGCGTTTGTGGTGCAATCAGAACATTGCGTGTGTTGAAGTTGTTTTAACGCAAACCAAAGATGCCTTTAAAAAAACAAGTTTACATCCTATTCGTATGCATGCCAGTGCTTTGTGTGAGGTAATTTAAGGTGGTTCTGACAAGTGTCGTCGGCATCTTCATATCCGGTCACATGGGCGGCAAGCCACTCCCATTCGGTCACATGGGTGGCAAGCCACTCCCACAAAGGAGGCCACACCCACAGAGTAGGTTCGAACAATTTTTGAAACCCACCACTGCAACTCTGGGAGACAAATTGTTCCTCTGATTAATTGTTCTCACTGTCAGGAAATTTCTCCTTAATTCTAGGTTGCTTCTCTCCTTGATTAGTTTCCATCCTTTGCTTCTTGTCCTGCCTTCAGGTGCTTTGGAGAATAGGTTGACCTCTCTTCTTTGTGGCAACCCCTCAAATAATGGAACACTACTTTTATGCTTCCTCTAGTCCTTCTTTTCATTAGACTCAACATACCCAATTCCTGCAACCGTTCTTTATATGATTTTGCCTCCAACCCGCTAACCATCTTTGCTGATCTTCTCTGCACTATTTTCAAAGGCTCAACATCTTTTTTATATTGTAGTGGCCAAAACTGGATGCAACGTTCCAAGTTTGATCTTACTAAGCCATTATAAAGTGGTACTAACTCTTCATGTGATTTTGATTCTATCCCTCTGTTAACGCAGCCTTAGATTGCATTAGCTTTTGGGGCAGCTGTAACAGACTATAACAGATATAACACACTGTGAAAATCCATAATTGTATGACTTGGGACTGATGAAAGAAATGTCCTGATGGGTTCGGCTCCAAGTGGGGAAAAAGACACTGGAGACATGGAGGCTGCTTGGAAAGATGGTTTATTGGTGGACAGGACCACATGGCTTGAGTCCTGAACAGAAAAGGTCATCACATGCTTCAATGTTGGTGGAGAAGAAGAGAAGGGCTGAGGGAGGGGCTTGCTAGGCTTTTTATAACCTGTTCAGTCCCACCTCTCTGTTTCCTGTTCCTGTGTAAGAAATGTATTCTGATTGGTTGTCAGATTCCCATGAGGCCATGCAGGGGCTACTCTCTAGGCTGTGTTTTGAATCCAGGTTTGGTTGAGTTCTCAGATGCCATGTGGTCAGTTGAGTAAAGGGCCAATATTATCATGCTTTCCTGTAGCTGGTGGAGAAGTCTTTATTATGTAGAGTGGACTAGCTTGGCCTTCTTAATGGCCCATTAACAGTGGGGATGGGCAGGAAGCTACAGGCAACTATTCTGTCTTTTAAAACATGTTTCTTTCTTTTCATATCCAGATAAATATTCTGCTTTTTCAATATTTCCTAGGATATTTCATTTTTCTGGGAGAGGGCTGGATGATAACTTCCCACAGGACAAAATTAAATATAGGTGAAATCAAGTTTAATTTTTATTCTAAGGGGTTCACTGTTTTTTTTTTTGGCCTGTTGCCTGAGTCCAAAACTAATTGTATTTTATACTTAAATCTGTCGTTAATATTCTTCCATCTTCTTTCATTGGTGAACTTTCCAGCAAAACTGGTTTGGCTTGAGAAGAGCCAACTGCTTTATAAAAATTGTGGGGATTTGGTACATGAGTGTGACATCATCAAAGGCTGCTCACAAGCCAATCAGAATAAACCCCTGATGACCAATTCACACAAATTTCATTAATATGGCAGCAGGCTAGATGCTGCTTCTCTGCAGCATGAGTGAAGTTTTAACAACTAGCCTATGGCACAACAGAGATCAGGAATCTCCCATTCTTGCCTGTATCAGAAAAAGCTTCTCTGATATACATAAGAATAAAGCCACTCAGAAGAGTAATCCGAGCAACAATCTGGAATGCAAATAAGTGATCAGAAAAGTCATCCACCTTAGCTGGAGGTTTGATACTATGCAGTGAATTTCTTTTAATATGCTCCTTCATTATCCCTGCAGACAATTTAAACCATAGTAAGAATTTGACTGAGAACTATGTTCAAATTAATATTAGTTTTTAAATAATTTGCTTAAAGGGTAACTGAGATTTTTCTAAATACTACCTTACTTTGTCTCATTTGTGTTCCACATGTGCTTTTTGATCTACATTTTCAGGTTTCTCGTGTATATATTTTTTCTCCTTTCATATGTATATAAGCTGCACCCTATGAATCTGACAGCACTAGAAATGGGGTCCAATATCTTGTTTCCTATAATCAGAGATTTGGGAAACAGGGCACACAATTATAGAATTGCCAAAATATACCTCCAGATGAAAATGTGTAAATAAGTCTAACAACTTCATGCAGTTGCAACTGATCTCCCAACTAAGGAAGGGCAGTACCTTAATGATCCTGTCAAGTACCAAGTATTTTAGTGAAAATCTACATTTCCTATCTGTTGTGGCCCAGTAGGAACCGTTGGAGCTGCCACCAGACTCCGACAGCGAGGGGCCCTATGAGTTGTCTCTGGAGGATGTGGAGGATCCTGGACAGGGTTCCGACTCCGAGCAGGGTGCAGAGAGGTTGGTTGGCCACCGGGAGGCACCTGAGCCTTGGACCAGTGGGGAGGAGACAAGGGANTTAAAGTCCAAGGCTATCGCATAGTCAGACCATATATAATCGACACTGGATTTTATTATAGATTTCAGTTGTTATTTATTATTTTATACTATAAGTTTTAAGTGTATATATACTGAGTGTTTTATTTGTTTTGGTCACTGGTCTAAGACTGTAATAATAAAATGTTATTGTTGCTGCCATCTTAAAGTCGAAGAAACTAGTTTGACTTTGTTCTATTGCTTGTTTTTGCATAATGTTGAATTTCAATATTGCATGATCACTCACACCCAAGGTTCAACACCTTCTATCATTTCATCTCTGTTAGTGAGAATTAAATCCAAAATGGCTGATACCGTTTTCACTTCTCTATTTTTTGGAAAACAAAGTTGTCTGCTAGGTTTGTGAGGAACTTGTTGGATCTTCTACTTGGTGCAGAGTTTGTCTCACAGTTGATGTCAGGGTAATTAAAATCCCCCATTACTATTGTTATGTGCTTCCTTCATACCTTAGTTAACTGACTAGAAAAAGTTCATCTATTTCCTCTGTTTGATTGGGTGGCCTATGATATATATCTATGGCAATGTAACTTCTCCCCTTTTATATCGACCCAAATGCATTCAAGACTGTTTTCATCGTTGTTGTGCTATACTTCTGTAGAGATGTAGTTATTACTTCATTTAATTAATGAATTAAGATTATTTATTTATTTATTTAAATTATTTCTTCTTTGTTGCAGCCTCTTAGATATTGGAACACTGCTATTGTATCACCTAAATGGATAGCTTGATATTGAGCCTAACAAATAGAATAAATATGTTTATAACTTAATAGCATTGCAACTCCAGAAGAAATATCCCCAAAATTTGAACAATAATGAGACATGTAAGCAATGCAGTCAAATTTTCAAAATAGTACAAACATTTATTATTGTTCTCTTTTAGGTCTTTCCATTCCAGTCTGGTATTTTCTCCGAATGCTTAGACACCACTTTAACAAAGAGTTCTGAGAAAAATAGTTCTAAATTATTCCTTGGGGTTAAGTTTAAGGCAAAAAAGAATATTCTCCCCACTTCCAGTCACTATTCACCTACTTCGCTCCAGCACCAGTCTTAGTTGTTCCTCGGTTGTCCCAGCTTTATGGCAGCCATCTTTAGGCTGTCTCTTCTCCTTGCCATGCCTGAGAGGGAAAAAGAACCCTGGGTCAGACAGGAGAGCTGCGAGTCTCCTCAACCTCACAGGGTGCCCCTCTTGGCTTCACCATCCCTTCAAGGAGGCNTTTCTTTGATCTGGCCCAGGGGCCGGCCTGGAAACAGCAAAGGACCAGCCCACAGTGCCTCTGCCAGCAGAAATGGGGCACGGAGAAATGGGAAAGAGGAAAGACAAAGAAAAAGAAGCAAAGATGGGAAGAGAGCAATGAAGGAAATATAAGGAGAGAGGTGAAGGACGAGGAAAGGAGAAGGAAGGAAAAAGAAGAAAAGGAAGGAGTTTATGAGATTGAGGGAGGGTCTCAGGGAAGTCCTACTTTAGCACTTGGCCACCACAGGTTCCCCCAACACAAGTGATGTCGAGCTGGCCATGGC